AGAACTAGAACACTATTCGACAAAATATCAAAAAACGACAACGAAAACATTTCGACGTGGTACACAAGGGTAAGAGAAATGGCAGCTGATTGTGATTTCGGCAAAACATTTGAAGACAGAGTCAAGGACAAATTTGTTACAGGTATTAGATTTGGTCCAATTTTTGAAAGATTATGTGAGGAATCCACGACACGGAATGTGTCAGAATTATTAGAAATTGCTTTAGCCAAAGAGTCAGTGTTACAAGAGCGGCAAAAGAGTTTTGTAAACAAGGTGCAAGTAGTCAAGAAACCTCAATATTCTAAAATTTCAAAATATGATCCAGATAAAGCTAAGGACTCATCTAAGGAAACTATTTTAAAATGCATTCACTGTGGAAAGTCAAATCACTTTTTGCAAGATGCAAATATAAGACCTATAAATGTAAATTGTGTGGGAAGATAGGGCATTTAGCAGCAATATGTAAAAGCAAGACTACTCACACTGCGCACACAGTGGAAATGCAAGATAAAGAAGAGGAGAATGGTTCGGTTAGCATTTTTACTATGGAGATGGACACGGTGCCACAATTAAATTATATTTCTCCATACAGCATTGAGTGTATAATCGGCTCAAAAGCAGTTAAGATGGAACTGGACACCGGTGCGGCTGTCTCTTGTATTCCGGATAGTGTTTACAACAGGTGCTTTACCAACTTTCAATGTCAAGCTGTCAACTGTGAGTTGAAGACATATAATGGTGAAGTAGTTAAACCTATAGGTAAGATTTTTGTGCCATTAAAATATAATAACAAAACATTGAATTGTGAATTACTAGTTGTTAAAAATGGTAGTAAATGTTTATTTGGAAGGGATTTAATTGAAAAATTTAAATTAAATATTAAAAATTGTATTCCATTAAATATTGTTTAAAATGTAAAGTTGAGTAACTTAGATTATGTATTGCAAAAATATTATGAGGTTTTCAAACCAGGCTTAGGTAAAATTGAAGGAGAAATAATTAAATTAGAATTATTAGATGAAAAGGTTAAACCAGTATTTCACAAACCTAGGCCCATTCCATATGCTTACAAGGACAAAATAGATGAGGAGTTATTGAAATTAGAAAAGGAGGGTGTTATTACAAAAATTGAAAATTCCAGATGGGAACACCGTTAGTTCCTGTTATGAAAGAAAATGATTACTATTCGTCAATTAAGACTTTGTGCGAATTATAAAATAACAATAAATAAATATTTAAAAGATGTTAACCATCCTCTACCTCGTATTGAGGACATTTTTGCAGCTTTACAGGGGGTGATAAATTCTCTAAGTTAGATTTACGCAATGCATTCAATCATTTGATATGTGATAATGAGACAGGAAACCTTCTGGCATGGTCTACACCCAGGGGTATTTACAGATTGAATATATATGGTACCAAGCCTCCAGTGATTTTTCAGGCAAAATTGGAAAAAGTTTTGTTAGGCGCAAAAGGAGTTATAAATTTTATTGATGATACTATAGTTACAGGGGCAAATGATGAGGAACATTTGCAAAATTTAGAAGAAGTTTTAAGACGATTTCAAAAGGTTGGTATTCGATTAAACAAATCTAAATGCCTATTTTTTGAGAAAGAGGTCAAGTATTTAGGCCACATAATTTCAAAAGAGGGTTTAAGGAAGGATAATTCTAAATTAAATGGCATAATTTATGCACCACCACCAAGTACTGTCACAGAAGTCCGTGCTTGGATTGGTATGGTCAATTATTATTCAAAATTTATTCCGCATTTGTCAGTTAAATTGAAACCACTGTATAAGCTTTTGCAAAAAGATGCCAAATTTATATGGTCTAAAGATTGTGATGACAGTTTTAAATTAATTAAAAAGAAATTGTTTCAGAAAATATTTTAGTTCATTTTAATAGAAAATTACCTTTGAAATTGTCTTGTGATGCTTCACAAAATGGCATAGGAGCGGTATATATAATATCATGCCAGATGGTTCTAATAGGCCAATAAGTTTCATTTCTAGGGTTTATAAGCCAGCAGAAAATAATTATTCAATGATTCACAAGGAGGCTTTAGCCATTTATTGAGCAGTAAAAACATTTTATCAATATCTGGTAGGTACACAATTTGAACTACAATCAGATCACAAACCTTTGTTAGCACTGTTTGGGGAAAACAAAAGTTTGCCTCAAATAAGCTGCTGGCAGACTACAACGATGGTCTCTATACTTAGCTAATTTTGATTATATTTTTAAACATATTAAAGGCTCTGAAAATGTAATGGCTGATTGTATGTCCAGATTGCCTGTTAGTTCTTTTAGTGAAAATGAAATAAATAAAAGAGTGTGATTACATTAATTTTGTAGAACAACAAAATGTTATTGACTTAAATATGGTTAGATCAGAGACCAGAAAAGATCCAATATTAAGTTCTGTTTTTAATATGATAAGATACGGATTCCCAAAGAAAGTAATAAATGAATATATTAAACATATTTCCAAAGAAAGGATGAATTATACCTAGATCAAAATATAATTATGTGGGGTTATAGGATAGTTGTCCCTGATAAATTAAGGTCAAGTTTACTTAAGGAGTTACATTCAACTCATGAAGGCATAGTTAAAATGAAAACCAATGCCAGATCTTACTTTTGGTGGCCGGGACTAGATAGTTGTATTGAAAATGTAGTTAAAACATGTGATATTTGTTTGTCAGCTCGACCAGAACCACCAAAGTCAAATGTCATTTAACATGGCCAAGTTGTAGCTATCCCTATGAAAGAGTTCATGCAGATTTTCTTGGGCCTATTGATGGCAAAATAATATTAATTATTATTGATTCTTATACAAAATGGCCAGAAACATTTATAATGAAAAATTTAGAAGCTAGATTAACAGTGGAAAAATTCAGAGAATGTTTTAGTAGGTATGGTTTGCCAAAAATGGTTGTAACAGATAACGCAGCAACCTTTTGTAGTAAGGAATTTTCACTTTGTGCTTATATAAAAATGGAGTAAGACACCAAACATCACCTCCATTTCATCACAAATGGTCTTGCCGAAAACGCTGTAAGAAGTTTTAAGTCAGGATTGCTAAAGACACTGAAAGAAAAAAATAATGTAACTTTTGAAACATTAATGAATCGATATTTATTTCACTATAGAAACTCTATACATAGTACTACAGGCAGTGCTCCAGCAACATTAATGTTTCAAAGGAAATTAAGAACCAGATTTGATTTGTTAAGTAATAAAAATTGTAAAGGGAAAGTTAGTAATATAAATGGTGGAGGAAAAAGAGAAATAACGTTTAAAGAGGGAGACAGAGTTTATTGTCGAGATTATAGACATCCAAATAAGAAAATATATATAAAAGCTGTAATTGAGGAAGTCCTTGGAAGAAGAACATATCTTGCAAAGTTTAATGAAAATTTAGTTTGGAGGAGACATATAGATCAAATTATAAGTTGTTCTTCCCAGGATCAAGATGATAGTTTAATTAAAAATACTGTAAGTGGTAATGATATAATTAGTTGCAGTGATAATTATTATGATCATGAAACAATATCGACAGGTAGAGCTTAAATTTCCTCAAACGGATGAGACTGTGATTGAGGCTCTTCAGTCATGTTCCTAGTAGCCCTCTTGTTAATACAGGTAATGGGGTTACAGTCAGAAGGTCACACAGAGGGTTAAAAAACCCCAGCGATTAAATTTATAAGGGGGGAGTATTGATATATATAAAAATATTGTATAATATATATTTTATAAAACAAATAATTTATTTTATGTAAAAATATAAAGATATCTATGGAAGAACCAGTAATAGGAATTTGAAAACGGTTAAAATGGTGTGTTTTTTTTAGAAATATAAAATATAGCTATTTGATTTTGAAATTGTATTTTGATTCTATAGGTGTCACGGACGGCCCGGACACTACACTAAATGAGGAAGACATTGAAGTACATACACTTTACAAAGTAATCTAATGATGACAGAATTAAGTTAGATAGATTTACGCATCAATATGATTGTCCCAAAAAGTTTGTATATATCCCAATATAAAGTGGGTTATAGTTTTCGTACAAAAATGTAAGGCCCTAATGGGGTGATTTAATGATACTAGTAAATGTGGACTCTGACATTTATGTGTATATTACAAGATATAATAGATATGTAAGAACGTGCGGTGTTCCATGCTCAGAATGACCGCGTGAGACGCCGCGGTAGACTCTAGGCTCGATGCCACATAATTGGTAATCTGTCAATTTTAGTACAGGTAGTCTAAAATTCGTCACACACAATGCAAAATCAGAGTAAATTTTAGTACATAGAAACTTTGTATTATCTATTACAAGTGCAAACGGGGGTTAATTATTTAATAGTATCACATTTAATTTTAATTAAAAGTTTAATGATAAAAATCTAAACGGCAGTAATTCACTTCTTTGACATTGGTCCATTGTAATTCTAATAATTGTAAATTGTAAGAGCAAGGAACTGGTACCTAAAGTACAGGTACAGGTAGTTAGTTACTACAGTTTAGATACCAGGGAACAAGGAAATGTGAAAATTGGGAAACAAAAATATATTATTATTATTATTGACATACTTGGTTTCGAACACTGCTTTACGTTCTGACGAATCTCGCGTTTTGAAATCCGTGTTAAAGTTAATTATACTAGAATTCGCAGCCATGCGCGATGGCCTAATTCACCTGAGCTCACCATCATCCTATTATTTACTAATACCCCGACTTTTTGACGTTAATCCAATATATGTATCTATATATAAATATGCCGCCATTTGGAGGAAGATGAAAAAGGCAGCTGACATGTTTGTACATGTAGATGCCATGCAATTTGCGTCAAAAAATTCGGGCAAAAAGAGTTTATTCGAGGCCCGCATCCATCCATCCATCCATCATCCTCGAGCCTTAAAAAGGATAGGTTAGAATATAATATCATATGACCAGGATAGGTTAGAATATAATATCGATGTCCACTTACCTTTAGGTGGACCGAACAGCACAACATCCATTGCTTTTAAAGCTAGCTTCTGTTTGTGTATCGGATCTTTGATGCCCAATACGTTGCTCAAATAGTGCATGTTGTTTACAGCCAGTCTGCACAATATAAACATTTCAATTACAATTGTGCTAGAAGCATTTCCCAATATACGCGATCTGAAGAAAAGCGTATTACATTTTGTTCCGAGATATTTTTAACAGATTATGATGGAAGGTCAAATCGTATGAAAAGATAAAAATATGACTTCAAAATCTTCTTATAAAATATTGAATAATATTGAAGATTGAACTCTAGTTCATCGTAAGAACTGTAAAGGGAATATTTTTTTTATTAGTAGCACTGCTGTAGTGAGCAGCTAGTTTAGAATAAAATAATACTGTAATATACTACGCCACAAGCTCTAGAGAAGCCTACTGGATAACAAATTGCACAGATGTTATGCTATATATATAGTTATAAAATGCATATATTACCAATAATATTCCAATAATATTCAGTCACCTATTCCCAAGCTAAGCATAGCTTGGTGTTATTGGAGAGGTACATATTTATTTATTTATAATATCCCATTTATTAATTTTATTCTGACCTGCACTCAGTATTCCAAATAGTATATATAATAATATAATAATAGGTAATTAAGAAAAGCCTCCATGATATCCTGGAAATGTTGTATTCTTACTTCGTCACTACACATAACATTTTTCGTTATGCTCTTTTAGTTACATCCTGTATTTGCGACGTGAATTAAAACCATTAGATTAACATCTGTGCTACCATAGACAATGTATATCTACACACAAATTTTATAAACAGATAGTGTTTTTATGTATGTCTAAAAAACTATGACTAATTGATTTTTACGATATAAGCCCGTGATGTTATTGGCGTCACGCAAAAATACATAATGTATTGGATATTGATGATTCTCCCAATTGCAAACAAAGTTTTACGAGAGATTTTACAAAGTACAAAGTCGTCTTCGTGAGCACCTTTGTTTCACTAACATCAGGATATATTTGAACCTTCAAGCAGTTTTTGTTAGCTGTGTTTCGGTTTAAGGGTAAGAAATAGCAGTGTAGTTACAGGATACGTGAGCATGACACCTAAGTTCTGAGAAATGGCAAAGTGTGTCAAGTGATAACTTCCTTTACGGACGTTATGTCCGTATTGTTGTTGTTCATGTATATGGTCGTATTCATATAAACAAATAGTATGGGCAACGCGCATTCGAATTTGGGCGCGCATAGATAGTTGTCAACTGCTTGTCTCCTTGAAAATGAAATTAGATAAACGTTTGCTCTTCAATTTTATTTATATATTACTATATAATCCAGGCTGGTACCCTGCTATTGGTAATGAACGTAAGAACAAATATTTCATATTATGAAATAGGAAATAACATATAAAATTAAAAATTTTGTCGATATTATTTTATTGGAGGAAACAATAACGACCGTCCCATCCTAACTTTACAGATGGTAAACGCGATGCTTCCTTCTGGGCGGAGGAGCTAGAGATAGTTCGCGCAAATCGAGGCACAGTTCGCAATTTCAAGTAACTCGACCACAAATTTTCAAAAGCAGTTAAAGATTTTATAGTCGCTCTACTTTTTACCGAAAAATAAAAACAGAGCAGGTAACCAGCTTCTTATGGACGATAATGGAATGGTGCACCCGCCTGCGGTAGCGGTCTACGCAGGCGGACCACCAGTGGAGGATAAGATGAGCATGAGGTCAAGTCAGTTAGTCCATCGTGACAAAAACAGGTAACCAGTTACCATCAAGTAGCGTCTTGTTTGCTAATCAATTTCAGTTAATAAATTACAAATAATTTAATTTCAACATTGCTTGAGATTATTAAATAATTTATTTCTTGCAGAGATCTGTGGCCAGTATTGGTAGTATTATTATTGTTATATATATTATAATTTATTATAATGATATGTAATATTTTGTACAATTTATATTATGTGCTGTTATTTATCTTAAGGCCTCCGCTGAAAATCAGCGCTGTAGCTTCGACTGCAGCAAGCTAAGAGAAGTCCTTCTTAGCAAATAGTTTATAGTGGCATATTGGTTTCTAATTGCTTTATTCTGTTGATGGAGCTATCTGTATGTATATGTACGTGGGTGTACATGTACACATACTGCCAATATAATTTAATCTATGCTATTTGAAATGCATGTTAGTGTCAATAATATTTGCTAAATAAATATATTTTTAAGTTTTCTGTTGATATAATTTGGTCACCTGGGTAGGGTTGCTCCGGTAACTTTGTGTTGCAGGAAGAGTGTTTTGTATTGAGGTAGGTCCACTGACTGCGACAGCCAATCGACTGTTTGCTCCACTGTCCAGTTGTGGACCTGCAAAAAAAATCCTTATTAACTTTTTTACCTAATAAATTTAGTAGTGAATAAAAGATGGATGTAAGACTCTTACTATTTCATAGATATATAATACTACTAAGAGTATTGTGCTCTAGTAGTATACTACCCAAAATTACACTCAAATTATGGAGAGTTCAAATGTAGTCAACACTAAAAAAAAATGGGTGTCTATCTATATATTCAAAAGACGGAGAGTCTTTTGAATATATAGATAGACACCCATTTTTTTTTAGTGTTGAAGCAAACATCGACATCAAATGAAATTAAACAGAGAGACGGTGGCAGGCTCGTCCCATAAGACATTGGATTCAAATATACCGAGAGAAAAATGGGCATGCCAAATATTGCGGTCACCACAATGTCGACAGTTGACAATGCCTCTGACTACCCCATGCAGGTTAATGAGTCGTGACGGTACATTTTTTTGTTTTCTGGTGAGAAACATAGTATCATCATCATAATCTCATATATAAATGAGAATATTGTATTTGTTTATAGTTTTATGTACATCTTTATACACATAAAACCATAAGCTAAGTAACTAAACATATATATTAGTAGATATAGGTAAAGTATTATTTCAAAACCAACAACCGTTACAGTTGGCATGGCTATGTGGAATTTCCCGTACAACCAAAACGTAATCGGAGTAAACCGTGTTCATTAAAAATAAGAATTGACGAAAATACTACAGTGTAACATAAAAATAGATACATAAAAACATAGTACAAATGAAAACCGTCACCATTTCAAAGTCGTGTCAAATTTAACGTTGCAATCTAGGGGAATCTAAATAGAAATTATATTTATTCAAATATACTTAATATAATATCTACTGAATAGTCATATTTTTTAATTCTACTACTAAATCGGAACGCAGACTCATCACAAGAAGAAAAAACAAGAAACTTGCGTGATGTTCATTTAAATAAATATAGTCATTACATAAGATTTTGCGTGAAAGGAAACTGCTAAATTTCAAAATTGATATAAGTAAATAAATAGTTACTTGATAAACAAAATAAATCATTCATAATTATCAGAGCAGACTAGTAACAGTACCCGTTAACTAAACATAGTACTTCAGTACTGAGCATTAGGAGCAAAAGAAAAAAAGACAGAACAAACGCGCTAAGTTAAGAAGTAATAGTGCAGGCATTGGGGTGCGGTGGGTGAACTGTATTTTTTTTAAATTAATATATAGATGGAACTGTGGGTTCTAGTATATACAAATACTATTAAATGGAGAAGATTTTATTCTTTTGTAAATTTGTATATTTCTACTCAAAAGACATTAGACTAATTTTGACAAAACCTTTCAAAGCTACCAGTAATAAAGCTACATTCCACACGGCCAGCGATACGAGGTATTATTATACCCCTGGACAGTTTACACAAAGCTATCTAGTTCCAAAATCAGTAGAGCTTGTGTTATGGGTACTGATATAAATACTCAGATATTATTTTGGTACATACGTACATAATATATATATGAGACATCCAGAGCGATACAATATTATATATATATTAGATTAGATATAGATAATCATACTCAAAAATACAAATGTTTCTACTGTGCGAGGAATCGAACCCGCAACCGTTGGAAGTAAAGCGTCGAGTTAAACCGGTAGACCACCGAGGCCGTCAAACATATAACATATGGACTCACCTCAGAGCGCAACCACGCTTCCCAAAGTTCTTTAACGGAGATGTGCATATCGTCGTTGTGATGGAAGGCGCGCTGTCTCTTCTCATACCCGCTATCGTACTGCAACTCCTCGCGGAGGAACTAGAATATAAAACAATTTATTATATTAGAATAGATTAGAAATAATTTTAACATAAGCACTTTTAAATAGTCGTATTTTTTTATTCTACCATTAATTCGGAACGCAAACTCAACATAAGAAGAATGAGCAACAAACTTACGTGTTGCTCTTAAGGATAAATGTAATTTTTTCATGTATTATATTAGAGCCACAGACATTCAGACGATTTGCGTGGGACTTACATTACATAATGCATCTGCATTAATGTAATGTAGGACTAATTTAATCGAATGAGGTGTTATTTTGCGGAACTCCTGCTATATATTGTATGTATGCTAATTGTAGCAGAATTAAACAAAATAATATAAATCCATCAAGTAGGTAAGTATTCATTGTTTCTTAATGATTTAAACAATTTTTTATTTCATTAAAAATTGGACATCATTTAAGTGACTAAAATTGAAATAGCAACATGTTTACTAAATAATATGGCAATTCTTTATATACACATAAATTTAATTCAAGTCCCCTGAGTTAATATTGATCAAAATACCCTACGATTCTCAATGTACGTGACAAAGTGTAATTCATATTTTATCATAACAAAGAACATATGTGATGCATTCTTATTTAATGACTCATTATTCATTAAACGAAAATAATATCTAAATGTATACAATTAGTAGGTAGGTGCCACAAAATTAATTGTATCATTTCGTATTCCTTTATCTCTGCCTACCCCAATCGGAGACTGGCGTGACAGTATATATCTGTGTTACATATTAATCAGCCATGTTTTCAGAGCTTGGAACGAAATACAAATCAACAAATGCCGGTAGTAAATAGTCCGCAATTCATATTTACAATTGTATTGATTACTTTAACTCGGCTGTTCACAAGCAAATTGTGTTCATTAGTTTCATTTGTTATGAGAAGCGTAGTTGCTAATCAAAACAATAACAACAAGCGTCAATTAGTGTGAGCACAGACACAGAAGAAAACAGACGCCAGACGAAAACTGTGTTTCATATTTATTTAGTAATCAGGCAAAGAGCGATGTATCATACAACTATATTACAGATAAACTTTCCCAAATCTAATTATTATGAATCTGTACAAACATAGATTAGTTTTCTTTTTGTCATAGGTCACTTCCACAGAATACTAGAGCTACAATAAAATTTGCCACACATCATGCAGAGCCGGTAGGTTGGTAACAATTTAAAATGTAACTTTATTGCCGTATTTAATATTGCCACTGATATTTACTGCCAATAATAAACGAATATGTAACTTAGAGTATAAATAACCCTTTCAACTGTAAACTATTTTAAAAGTCTTATATATAGTGTTATTTTTTATCTAGTGTTAACTTTTTTTTGACATCAAATAACTTTTTTGCGAAGATATTAGTTATTCCAAAATTCAAGTCGAAATGGCCTTTGCGATTAGTTACCTTTAATTATATCAAAGGGAAGAAATACGCATTCAAAATATATACACTTTTGAGATTATTTTAATTCATAAATAACAAAGAAGGCAATGGAAAAATATAGTAAGTTTTTGCACATTTTTATACATTTTAATGTATTTAGAAAATGATAAGATTTACATATTAGCGCTTATTTATCATCAGTATTTTAATGTCATGACAAGCGTTAGCTATAGAGAATATTAGTGGAAAGAAAAATGTAAGAATACAATAAATAATGTGAAAAGAAATAGTGTCACACTTCAGTTCTGGCCAAATGCCAAACGTCCAATAAACGTATTATAATGTTACTTGATTAGGTTAGGTTAGTATTTCAAACAAAATTAGAATACCTTTAGAAATAAAATTATACAACTATTAAGACAAATCCTTTGATAATTTGTATCTTTTTTATATGAGTAAAAAGATCAATGTTTTAAAATATTTGCATGAATTATGGCACTAATGAGCAATCCTCTTACCCTGATTGTAGGAGTTGTAGTATTAAGCGACGTGAAGTTTTAATGTTCAACACTAGTCTAACTACGTAATATTGCCAGACTCGTTAATGAGATAGGCAGATAAAACCTAAAGCTACTTTCCAGTTTTACACACATTTCTTTGATATCAAACTATGGGCATCTCCAGACTCTCTTTTCCGACTTTATCTTCTTTTATATTTATAACACAAAACAATAATTCACTGGCTATTCACTGGCTTCTTGTTCTGATAAATATGAACACTCAGACCTCTAAGATAGACTTCTGTTTCTATCTCCTCAGTTTCCCCTGATACAAAATCTTTAACGTGAGGTAAACCGCGTTTCTTTTATTAGTATGATGACAAAATAAATCAGAATCCACTGTGCTGTGACTCTGGCGTGACTAAACTACTATACTCTTACGTACTGTACGTTCTTAAACAAAATGTAGACATATGTAACAACTAAATTCAATGATTTACTAAAGGAAATTGGTTTTTCATGAGCAGGCTTAAGCGTCACATGTCCGGTTGGTGTAATGCCAAATTGTTTCAGTTCGATTCTCTGTTAATATATTGTTGCAATTTCATTATATATATAGCGTTTAAAAGTGTACAACTCTGCAATGAGATTGTATTGTGGCCTCCCAATACCAAACAATCTTATTGCAAAGTATTATTTGATTGAAAAACAAATCACGTGAAAATTTATGACACGTGGTTTCGAGTTCAATTTATGTGAAAAATACAAAAAATATATATTTGTATTCTGACGAATTATTACCTATATGTTTATATAATAGTTTATTCGCATAAGTGGACAAGTGTTACCAAAGGAATACCCTATCTATATATGGTATATAGGAATACCATATCGCTGGATTTCAAATCACATGTAAAATCTTTTATCTCTGTTTCTATCATTCATACAATTAAGTAATACAATAGAAAGAGTTAACACTATCGAGTCTATTGTATCGACGTTTCTATTGGCATCGTCATACAGTGGCGTGATGTCTTTTAATGTGTAGCCAAAAGGTCTATTTCTATCTCGTTCATTGTTTTCTAACGACTATAAATAAGAGAGAGTATACTAACATCATCGCTCTCGCTGAGATCCACGTTCCCGTTGGCGTCGTCGTCGAGCTGTCTGTGTAGTTGTGTGATGGCTTCCAGCCCGGCGCGGTCCTGGAGGCATGATGCGTCGTTGTGACACGCCTCGAGCAGTACTGGAACGTAATAATTAAACATTTCAATGACATGAAGATGGCATTTTCGACTTGATTTATTTTAAGACTTCAAATTCAAAAATCATTTATTCATGAACGTCAAGTTGAGTCCTGCCTAGTATACAGATTCGATTGAAAAGAACTGACAAGAAACTCAACAGATTTTTTTAAGTCTATATTATGTACATTTTACATTTATAAAGATGTATATGTATAACATTAAATGAAAATCACGTGCATGAACGACTTCTGTCATGCACGTTTGTCATTTAGTTAATTGTTTAGTGAATACGCTTTCCTCAATAAATATGATATAACAGATGCTTTAAATTTATTTAAAGGTATTCCACTATATCCTTTGGTATCTTATTGAACTTACCAATTATTATTATTATTTTTAACATGGGGCTAATCTTTTCGTTACAACATATTGTTTGGTCGTTGTTTATCGGTTACAATTGATCTGGAGCGGTAAACCTGATCCACTTTGTGTAAAGTGCATAATATAAATTATGTCTAATATCGACTATACATATAAATAAAATTGTAATGTCTATTTGTAATATTGAAATAACTGTTTTTACTACATGCATATGAATATAAAGATGGTACATATGCAAAATATTTTTTTTTACAATTTTTGTCTGTCTGTCTGTTTGTTCCGGCTAATCTCTGAAATAGCTGGACCGATTTTGACGGGACTTTCTTTGGCAGGTATCTGATGTGATAAGGAGTAACTTAGGCAATATCTATTTAAACAAAAAAAATAGAGTTAAATTCCATAAAGTTAAAGTCACGGGATCAGCTAGTATCAATAATATACATTAATGATAACACTGATATATGAGAAATTCGTTAGATTTATCTATGTAATATACATCTTACACCAAGTTGCTTTAAGGATTACTATGAACTAAGGGCAAATAATTAATTAATTTATGGTATATCTAATAATTTTATTGTCAGGTCTTACAATCGTCACTTATTAAAAACAAATCACATCATGAAATGTACGCTTGATAGCGAGAATAGACCATCAGCATCAGATATAGTTATGCATACAAATTTATACACGGTCTACATAAGAACACTTTTCAAAACAACATATTATTTGTGGATGTACATTTAGAGACTTTGTCAAACCCATATATTATATCCAGCGCTTCACAATAACAATCAAACTTTTTGTAGTAAAACTAATTATACTAAAGTAGCATAATAACCTTACTGTAGATAATAGCTAAATCGTTAAGTGTCGCAGATAATAACGCCTAGCACTTTAACAAATGTGGCGTTTGTTTCAAAGAACTATTTAGAATTTGGTAACGCAAATAAGACGTGTTTCTCACATTTTATTTGAATGATTTAAATACATTAAACAAAGATTACATATGAAGTACGTAAGATGCTTGAAAGATATATGTTAAGTATTTAAACAGGTTCACTGTGTGACGTCATATGACGTCAGCGATCCGGAGCGATGACTTCTGTAGCTGTTTATCGGGATTCCTGTATTCCAGAGTTCTTATAATTTATAAAGTGTTTAAAATGAACTATGCAGTAATGAATCGATTTACAAATAGTACCGCACTAAATTTCACCTCCCATTCAATGTTTAACACGTTAAAGACCGCATGCCCACCGGTTGGTAACGAAAGTTTGACACTTTGAGATTGGGTGATCACTCGTGGGCTTTATAGTTGATATAAATCAAGGGGTTAAATAATGTCTACCCCAAATTATTATACACTAAAACATATTAAAAAGATAATATACGTAATTAACAATAAAAAAATGCCGGTCCCTCTGTGATAAATAAGATTTTTCAATGCGGTCTTCAACGTGTTAATGAGTTTGTTGAATATGTTACTGACTCAGATATACATAGAAATTAATATAATGCATACAAGTTTTAAGACTTCAAAATAATATTTTGCATTTCTGTTACATGTTTAAATATTTTTTATCGGTCACCTCGTACGTTCTAAACAAAGATGAATTGACGTCAAAAGGATTTTTTTTATAATTAACTAACTTCCAGATGACAACCGTACACGGATGCTCTTACAAATAGGATTTTAAGCTTTTGTACGACATCTGGCCTTAAGAAATCGGTCAAATACAGTAAGTACGAGATTTAATGAAATTTTAATTTCTTCGAACGAGGACTTAGTTTGTTTTTATTATGATTGACAACCCTGCTAATTTCTTAAAAGATATACAGGTTGTATAACTAATAATATCCAACACTGAGACTGATAAACTGAAACCTTTCAGGTATCGGAACTAAGTAGAAGGAATTTAAATATAATAAAATTACTATTTTATTTCTGTTTAGTGTTTTAATCAGAATTGTTATACAAAAAATAACGCAGTTACAAACTTACTGATGTGTTAGAAATGAGCTTTAACGTATAATTTAGATAACTTTTTTGTTTTGGTATTCTGTTAGAAATTTACAGTAGGTACTTATTTTAAAAGCCCCATATTAAAAATGAAAAAAAATACTAATAATTATATGATTGTTAATCTAGTTAAAATTGTTTCATAAATTGATATTTAAATTTAACGTGAAATTATTAGTATCCAGAGACTGAAACAGAGAAATGTACAGCATTTTTCACATATTATAATGCGTTGGTAAAATGTTATAATTATACAGATAAACACAAGTGTTTCCTGTTTATACAGCCACATTCGTTTATTATTATAGCTTGGAACTCGGTAAACCCAAGGACGAGATAAGCGCAGCCATATCATTATTTAATATTACGAGTCTAATAACAATGCAGTATAATAAAGATGAGGTTGTAGGTTAACTGTTTTTTAGACTTTACAGTTTACGTTACATTACATTAAAGTTTACATTTTATTAGCATTAGTTGTTAGTTATTATTAAACACGCTTAAACACTCCATAGTCCGAATTTCCTTAGTCTAAGCAGGTTGTAATCACTGGCTTTCTTACTGGAGCAAAGAAGCTCAATAATACTGGCCACCTATGAAAACATGTCGCCATTTAAATTTCAAATTTAGAAGAATAACATTATTGAAAATAAGAACTGGACGAAAAAACGACGTTCCATATTTTAAAAGAAGAAAATTATTGATTCATTTGATATAATGATATAATGTTTTTATTAAAATACACACTAGAGTGCGTGGCCATTAATTAAACTATACAATATACATCGAAACGTTCCTGAGTAAAGGTGAGTTTAAATTTGGTGTTACTTTGGGGTATTCGGAGTGTGGAAGACATTCTTCCTAAGCGAAATCGTATTTCCATTCATTTTCCAATAACTATTTTCTTTTCAAAAATATATACACTCTCTATTTTTATTTACGGATTCGTAATTCAACAACACTGTATTCCCACTTATTGTGTGGAAGACATGTCATATGTTGCATCATATACATATAACAACAATGTAATAACCTACCCTATTAATTTCTATTACATACGAATTATATTACTATAGTAATATTATATTTACAATATTTTTATTGGTACACTAGCTGTACCCGCGTGTACTTTATAGCATGTGTTATTCTGATGTATAAGCTATATTTATAATAATATAGCTTAATTACATTAAAATCCATTCTGTACTTTTTATGTGAAAAAGTAACAAACATCCATCCATACAGACAAACTTTCGCGTTTGTGATATTAGTAAGATTAATTAAACTTAATAGATATGTGGTTAATTTTAGATCAATAAGACAAAATGTTCCAATGTTGTAAGTGGGTTAATTTAATTGGTAATGTCTTAATGAATTGTTTTGAACATAATGTTGATTGGTCCGACCTTCCGAAAGGTTTTATTTGAACTAGAACAAGGCTTATATTATACACTAATTGGTAAAAAACTTACGGAAATTTGTGAAGGCCTATTAGAGGTAAATAAAACATAGAAACTCGTATAAGAATAGTGCATATACATAAACAACTTTATATAAGTAGCCGTCAGAAACTTCAAACAAAAATCATGTCACAGTTATCACATTAGAAAGATTCCTCCTCCCCAGTGTGACGTTACATATGTTACAATTTTACATCTAGAAATAATTAAACTAATTATTTTTATATATTACGCTATTTAAAAATAAGAGTTGGTTTATATTACGCTATTTAAAAATAAGAGTTGGTGATAGAAGGGTGAAAATTTAGGATTATATGTATTTTTTAATACCACATAAACCAAGAAAACCAACCCTGAGTGACACGAGAATTTTATATATTACAAGATATGTCGATTTTCAAATGTGATGACATTACATTTGTGTTTGCTTCCACTCCCTGTCACACAGAGTCACACTTCCATTAACGTGTGAATTTATGAATGATTTCTAATACATGTACAGAAGGATTGCGTAGTCTCATATTTTTTTTTATAATTTGTTTTTTTCCCTGAGCCATGTCACTTCAATGCTATGTGACAGTAACTCTTGACCTCGTGATAGATAGGTATCATTAGAATAACTTCTGTGTTCTTCATGTAAATATAGATATAAATAGGTGGAGATCAGAGCTTGTTTATAGATGATGATTTTTTTAGAACTACTCTAATGTTGTTAGCCGCAGGTGGTCTGGCGAGTGCAGATGGCACTTCAAACCCGCGCAAAGGCTTATGGAGCGGTTGACGGTCAACTCACGCCTGACAGATACGACTTTAGTCTGAGAGCACCGCTAAGGGTTCGAACCTCGGCTCAGGTCGTCATAATTACGATCCCTGTTTGAATTAAACGATGAATCGATCGGAGATGATGATATGATAACCGACGGTTCCAGCTTTTCATCAGGACATTTTGGCGTTGCAATTCGAAAAGTAATTTCATTATCGCTATTATAATAAGACGCTAGAATAAGCATTAAATTACGTTGACAAAAACTAAGTACTAACAAAACATGGAATTTTCCAAACGTAATGGGCAAGTCCAATACTGGGGGAAACGATGTAATGAATGAATATTTAAATAAACCATAGGCAAAGAAAC